AATAAAAAAGCACGTTTAAATTTTGTCTTAAGTCAACTTTAATAGTATTATCAATTCCTGACACATCAATTTTAGATTTATGCATCGATGTTTCTCCATGTGTTTCTGTTTTCTCGCTCGTGTCTTTTGGCTTCGAACACGAGGAAGAAGCATTGAACCCACCGCTTACAATATCAATATTGCCTAAGAAGTTACAGGAAAAAGACAAGCAAGGGTCGAATATATGTATATAGTTTTTGATTGTAAATATATATGTTCTCTTCTTCTTACATTAGGCCTCTGACCTGTGTTTACCTCTCTCATATGCTTGTGGTGTGCACACTGATCCTTCAATTGCATAAGCATAATGGGACTAATAGTTTTAGTGCCAGTTCTGAACGGCAAATTTTTCGAGAGGTGTTTCTGTGGACAAGGATACTCTTCGGAAGGAATATAATGCACCAATTGCCGCCAGCACGAAAGTAATCCGTGTATATTTTATCGGAAAAATTGCCTATTGTTCGCATTTCAGCTATACTTAACTCAATTATATTGTGTTACTCTTATAAATTACTTTTTAAGAATTAAATCCAATGACTATCTCACAAACATTTTACTTTTAATTGTTCTTAATAACAGACATTTATTAACTGTCATTACTATAGCAATAAATGGTAATGCCTACAGTTACTATTCGCTCTAATAGTAAACTATTCATTTTTTTGAACGTAAATGCGAGAAATGTAGATTTATTAAAGCGCCATAAACGTGTAATTCTGCAGATAACAATCGCGAGCGATGCCGGCCAAAGCCTCCGCTATTGTCGTGCCGGTCTCCTGCACCATGATGATCGAATTCCTGTGATAAAAGTCTAAATTTGAAGACATTTGAATACTTCTGAGACTTTCACGAATATTTTCTACATAGAAGTTACACAGTAAGTTGTATAGATTTTCTTTATGTCTCATATGGAAAAATAAAGAAGAGATTATTCTGTCTATTTAATCATCAACCAGATATTTTATATAACTTTATCGTCATAGAAGAAAAATTTATTATCTTGAACGAATAATCCTGTATTTAAATTCTTCGTAATATGGCTAAAAAATGAGATAGTGAAATAAAAAGAATGCATTTTATAGG